TACATTCCATTCCACTCCACTCCATGCCACTTCATTTCATTCCAGTCCAGTCCACTCCACTCCCCTCTATTCCATTCCATTCCTCTATTATCTTGGCTTGGGTTTTCCAAGAACCAGACCCTGAGATAAAGATTCAAATGCAAGTTTACTTTGGAGGTGATCTTAGAAAACACCAGTAGAATGAGGAAGAGAGACAGGGAAAGCAAGGCATCCAAAGAAAGTGTAGAATGTATACCTCACCCCAGCCAGACCTTTGATCTAATATATTCAGTGTGTTCATAGAGGAGCATCCTTAGTCATTGGGTGAGGACTGCTGAGGGGAGGTGGACACTAGTTTACTAGTACTAGAAGGGCCTGACCAATGTTGGCTTCAGTGGCAAAAGGGCTGGTGTGAACAGAAGTGTTAAGGTGAGGGAATATGGGTAGAACACCAACACCATCTGCTACATACACTGTTTGGTATTTTTAGAACATCTGGGTCACTCACTGTTCACTAAATTGATTTCATGGGTCATAACACACAGTTTGAAAAGCAGTGTTCCAATAAGGCATTTCCTAAAGAGTGGTTCTTATATGTTCTCCTGGTGGGTGAAATCGTTTAATTGGTACAGAAACAAATATTTTTTAACATAAGTCCTCATTTTAAAATTGCAACCTGCATGAGGATAAAAGGTAAAACTAGCACTTTTATGATATAGAATTTTATTCCTGAATAAATGCATTTAAGGAAAGAAAATAAATTGATTTAAATATAAATGTTGACTAAGTGGTGCATGGATATGAGGGGAAGATGGGAAGGTGGTACTAGAAAGGATGGAGCTCAGGATTCTTTGCCTCAGAAATGCCCTTTATTGCAGTCCTGTCTGCTTTGCTCTTTCCGTCTAACTGTGCCTCTCCCCCTGCAGAGATTCGGCTATGGAGGCTGGGTGCAGCTCCAACACCACAGCAAGGTGAGTTTCTCCCAAAGTGAGCCCGCCTCAGACCCAGGGACACCCTGAGCCTGAGACCTCTGGGAGCTCTCAACCCTTTGGCCCTCCTGTGGACTTTGCAGTAGGCAAGGGAGCAGCACTGAGGTTTCTCTAAATTATTAGAAAAAATGTGGGTCACTTCAAAGAGCAGCATTCGGGACGGTAAATTGGAATTTGAAAAGCCATTAAGAAACCTCTCTTTTTTTGCCCTCAAACCAATTTTAGCATTTATTGCTCTGCCTTAAGGAATAGATGCTGGAGAACATATATTTGGGCACTAATCTGGCCCCCTCTACAGGTCATTAGAGTAGATGAAGGCCGACCAAATAAATGGAACAGTTTAGGTTTGAGCACAAGCTAGAGAAGTTAAACGTTGGAGACCCGGGAGAAGCCTCTGTTTGGTAAGAGGAGAAGGTGCAAGGAGGACTGAGAAGGAGCTCAGAGTCCAGGCCTGCAGAGAGGTCATCCCTGACTTCATTTTCAGAGGCAGCACGTGCCTGCGTGGAGCTGGGAGGGAACCTGCCTGAGCGTCCAGCTAGAACTCACGCGGTTACCCTGTGCAGGGGGAACACATGCAGTGTGATAAGGTTGGGGGCCTGCTCTTCACCAAGTGCCAGAGGACACAGATTTGGGCACTAATCCTGGAGAACACCTCCTGGAGGAAGTGACGCCCAGCCTGAGGCTTGAAGCAGGAATAAAGGAAACAGATTTCCAGGAAGAGAAGACAGGGAACAAAGGCATAGAAATATTAAAGTTATCTAAGCCCACAACTCAAGCACTTGCTGTGGCTGGGACCAGCATTTCTCAAAATGCCATCCCCAGACCAGCAAGAGCAGCTTCACTTGAGAAGATGGAAGAAATTCAAATTCATGGGCCTCAACTCAGACCTACCAAATCAGGAACTCCGAGGAACCGGCCACCAGTCTGTTTTGACAAGCCTCCAAGTGATTCGGACGCTTACTCAAGTTTGAAAACCACTGCCCATATTCATTCGCTCACTGGTTTTTATTAACATCACCAGGCTAGGCCTGGGAAATATACTGGTGAACAAGACAGACCTGTTCCCTGCCCTCGTGGTGATAAACTTCTGCGGGGAGACAAACCTGATCACTTTGGAGAATGGAATGACAAACAGTGCTGTAATAGGGAGGCTAATCAGGGCTGGCTGCACGGGCAGCTAGTGAAGACTTGGAGGAAAGGAAGGAAAACCTGGAATAGCGTCCCTGGCTCAGGGACCAGCGGTTACAAAGGCTATCGCATGAGGAAGAGCTATGCTCAAGAAACAGAGAGGAGGGCATTGTGGCTGAGATGTGATGACACGGGGAGGCGGTAGGAAATGAGGCCAGTGAGGCAGGCAGATCATAGAGGGGCATGTAACACATGCTAAAGAGTCTGGATTTTATTTTCAACACAGTGCAAAGTCTTTGGAGGGTGTTCATGGCTTAAAAAGACCTTTAGCGACAGAGAATGGATCGAGGCAAGCAAGGGTTTTAGGAGCAAAGTGGTGGGAAGAAGCTGAAGAGGTGGGCAGAAGCCTCATCAGATGGAGCCTTGGAGATTGGGTTTAGGCCTTTGAACTTGATCCTGAAGGCAGTGGGGAACCATTACAGAGTTTTCAACACCAGAATCTGTGGGGCAGCTCACTCTCACCTTCATCACGGGGCATCCACTAAGTGCTGATGTGGACACTGAGCCGCACTTGTGTGCTGAGCAGTGCCAGTTCCGAGCCCGCATGGGAGCAGTGATCTAAGCTGGCTTCGGGTCTCCCCGAGGAGGAAAACAAGCTGAGCAGAGCTGATTACAAGGCTGCAAGGAAGCCCCAAACGCAGGGACAGGCCGCTGTGATTTTTATTTTACTCCCTATCCCAGGCTGCAGTCCATAACCTCGATAATGGACTTGAATGGCCTTTGTTTCATTTTGTTTTCGTGTCAAGATATTGCATAAACTTAACAGCAGATCTCAAAAAAAAAAAAACCCAAGAAGGAAAATATTTCCAGTCACATCCAGTCCTACACATTTCCTACATATTTCCAGCAAACTTGGATACAATGGTAGTGTAACAGAACAAAACAGTGACACTCTCCTTCCTTCTCCCTCAAAACAAACAAAGTAAAACAAAACAAAACCAAATCTGTATTTTTTATAATTACAGTGGTCAGGGATTACAGTCGCTGGAAAACAGCATGTGAATGTATACGAATATTCAAATTAGACTAACAGCAAGGAGAACATCTAGCTTCTTTTCTTAATGAATTTCAATGCTTTGGAGATGAATGGTGGGGTGCTTGTGTGCCATGGTAGAGCCTTGTTCAGAATTGAAAAAATACCACTTGTCTTTTGGTTGAATATTTAGGAAAGTGTAGGTAGCAAGACAATTTGTATGGCCTCCTCTCAGAAGCTGCACGGGGTGGGGTAGTACTGAGTCCTGATGGCAAGAACCTGGGAGCATATCAAAGGATGGACAGAGGGCCTCTTTCTAAACCGTGGGTCAGCAGCATCTACAGATCCCCACTGAGTGTTTCCCAGGCCCTTGGGGCTACACACACACACACACACACACACACACACACCATTTCCATCACACCGAGCATTAAATACACACTATTCTGTGTAATTCCATGTAATTCCGATCATTGGGTTCCTGATTTGAAAATGATTTTCCCCTCACTGGGAAGCCAAGAAGAAACCCGAATGGATAAAGGTATTTATTCAATAGCGATCCTTTTGAGCTCAGTGAACAAAAGAGACAATACATATAAAGGGAGTCGCGGAAAGTGGGAAGCCCAAGGCAAGGGGTGGTTTCCATAAAGAAAGAATCACAGACCAATGATCATCGACTCCAGTGTTTGAAAATAAGTGTTGCAACCTAATAGTAAATCATAATAACAAGTCAGGGGTGTTAGGTAGGACAGCTTTAGAAACAAAATAGATAACAAAAGAAAACAGCTGGATGCACTGTTCATAGTAAGAGTCAATGCTGTTTCATGGAACTTTTGTCCCAGTTTGTATCTGTTTAAATAGATTTATATGGGTCTACTGGGTCACAATAGAAAATATATTTCTGCATGTGAAGTCACAGCCAAAATGGATTGAAAGCAATTATTCTAGTCCAATGCTGTCATTTCTGTTTTTATTTTGAAGGTTAACTTTTCATTACATAAAGTATCATTTCAATAAATTCTCTGCCACCAGTAACCCTGTCGACAGACGTAGCACATGGCCACTGCCAGAATCATTGGCAGGATAGTTCACTGTTCTGCCTTTTTGCATCTCTTGCTCTTGATTAAAAACCAAGCATTGATTGGCCAAGCTCAGGGCAAGGAGAGCAAGCATTTGGGCTTTTGAACTTTATTAGAGGAAGGCTGGGCTCTGCCTCCACCAAGACTCTGATAGGAGATTCCCCAACCCAGGAAAGGTGTTCAGATGCTGGCAGGGGGACTGAAGCAAGTCAACCCTGATGTCAGAGACTGGGTTCTGCTTGGACACAGATATCTACCATGGTTACACAAGTCACTTTTCACTGACTTCTTCCCCCCAGTCCATGAGAAATGAAAACATGGATCTTAGGGCTTCCTCATGCAAGCCAGATGTGAAGGGGCTTTTCCCCCTGCAGGGGAAAAGTGGCTGGCTTTCTCCAAGCAGAAATAGGGGAAGGTTTTGTCCATGGGATGGAAGGATGGAGAAGGAAGCTGTGGCAAGGCCTGTGTGCAACTCGCAATCAAAAGAAGGGGGAGAGGGGGAGGGCAGGGACTCCTTCAAGCAGAGCTCAAGGTCTTTAATCACCACATGCCCACTCGGCCATCACGCAGGGCCCAAGGGCAATGTTGAGCCCTAAAGCACTGCCAGAGGTGGTGTGCCTTCACAGCAGGGAACAGCAGGAGACAGCCTAGTCCTTAGTTAGCCACATGTCATTAATAACTAATACTTAGAATAACCAACACTTAACATGTGTCAGATACCCATGTGCTTTATATGGATTCTCCCATTTTATGCTCACAAAATCCCTTTAGGGTATAATTTATATTATTTTTTAAGGTAAGTCATATTATTGTCCCTATCTTAAAGATGAGCAAATTGAGGCTCAGGGATGTTGTTTAACTTGCTCAAGACCACACAATAAGTAGTAAAATGGGGACTTGAACCTGAGCAGTCTGATTTCAGGGACCTGGATCAGAACTTTTCCCTTTTCTTTAGGGATCACAAACTGGAGGCTGAATTTAGAAGCCACTGCCATGCTTCTGTACAGCCATTTACCATGGCCCCCTGCCCTGAGGAATAAGAGACAGTGTACACAGGCGGCACGATGCCCGGTGGAGGTCAGCACCTCGGCCCCAAGGTCTCACATGCTGAGAAACCGATTCACTTCATTGCCCACCTCCTCCTGCAGGTGTTGACATCAGTGGGCCCTGCTCTGCCGGACAAATCACTTCTTCTGACTATCCATCTGTGGCTGCTCTATAAAACCAGACGGCTGGACTACACAGTCTATTTCCGAGGTCCTTTTCAATTCTAAAATGTTGTGTTTTGCCCTAACCGGTTTGGCTCAGTGGATAGAGAGTCGGCCTGCAGACTGAAGGGTCCCAGGTTCGATTCCGGTCAAGGGCATGTACCTTGGTTGCAGGCACATCCCCAGTGGGAGGTGTGCAGGAGGCAGCTGATCGATGTTTCTCTCTCATCGATGTTTCTAACTCTCTATCCCTCTCCCTTCCTCTCTGTGAGGAATCAATAAAATATATTTAAAAAATAAAAATAAAAAAATAAAATGTTGTGTTTTATCTGGAGTTTTCCAGACACTGCGCCTTCCTCTTGGGGTTTGTAGCCAGTGGTTCAGGGAGACAAGGTGACCGACCAGCCAGCCTCAGGCATGAAGCCCCAAAAGGCCATGACCATGGCCTTGTTTCTCTCTGTGCCCAACTGCCGATGCCTATGAGCACACTCCTTTAACTCCAGGCCAATATGAAGGCAGGAGGGTGAAAAGCTGAGCTCTGCTGAATGAACAGATTTCTCCTATTAGGGGAGAACCACGTTCCAAAGCATAGAAGAAAGGGTTCCTCTAAGTAAACTTAGGTTAACGTTGCTGATGTGCCTCTTCTGCCCTAGGGAGAAGCAAAGATGCTGAAAGACGGGAAGGTTTTCAGGGTGGTCCAAGAGAACTGCTGGGATCCAGAAGTCCGTATTAGAGAAATGGACCAAACAGGTACTTACGCTGAGAAATGTTACCAGTGATCACATCTGATAAAAAGCCATGTCTCTCCCTGAAGTTTGTTGACCACTTTACAGGATGTATGTGATCCGATCGCCTTTTCTCCTCGGAGCCAGACTGCTCCAACTTCGCTTGGGGAGGGATGGGCCTTCTACTATAATTGTTTTAGTGTGGATTAAAATTGTTTTTTAATTAAGTATACCTGTTTAAAGTAGAATGTTATATCATAAAAAACATAAATGTGGCATTTTATTATTTTAAAGCTTTTTAAGTTCAAATGTATAGTATGCATTTATTATTAGAGTCGATTAAAAGAATAAAAATTAGCCCTAGGTGGTTTGGCTCAGTGGATAGAGCGTCGACCTGCAGACTGAAGGGTCCCAGGTTCGATTCCAGTCAAGGGCATGTACCTTGGTTGTGGGCACATCCCCAGTAGGAGGTCTGCGGGAGGCAGCTGATCGATGTTTCTCTCTCATTGGTGTTTCTAACTCTCTATCCCTCTCCCTTCTTCTCTGTTAGAAAATCAGTAAAATATATTTTTAAAAATAATAAATAAAAGAATAAAAATTAGAATTCACAGAGTAAGGATGCCGGTTTCCTGCTTAGTCAGATTCAGGATCCAATTTCTTCCCACACTTTGTCTTGGTACACAGTACACAGAAAGTCCCCACTGACACATAAGGGGTGGAAATGAGAGCAGTTAAAAAGCAAGTTAATGGTGTAATCGCAGAATCATCTATAATGAAGTTAATTTCAAAACTTGAAAGAGGAGAATTGGGACATTCTTGTTTCAAAGCTGAATCACTAACAATTTCTGAGAACTGCTTTGCATTCCTTATCTTATATTTATAAAGCGAACAAGTCCCACAATTTAAAAGACCATTTAAAATATGGTATGATGGCCACGCTGTGCTTTCACTTGTTACTGTGCCACCCAAGTACACACGCTCCAGAAGATGGGCCGAGCCTCTGGGCACGCGTGGGCCATGCCAGGGGGAACTGCCCTACAACACTGCCAGGCCTAAGCTTCGACACTGGTAGTCTAGATGTAGACCAGAAAACAAACACTTCATACCCACAAATGAAAGAGCAGCTCAGAACTACCACCTCCTTAATCAAAGATAAATATATAAGAAGTTAAAATATATACACAGAGATGGCAGGAGGCATTTTGCTCCAAAGTCTACACAAAATGAGTTAACCTATCAGCCCAAATGAGGAGGTGGTCTATGGAATGATAGAATTTGGTCCAGGATACTTTGGGTCAGGAATTGCTTTATAGTTTTTATAAATAATTAAAGGTATATTTAAATGGCATTCTAAATGAACTCTGCAGAAAGCCTGAAGACCTCTGCAGACCATTCCACAGAACACAGCGTATATGTCCCTGGTCTAGAAATATGTGGTGGGAAGGGAGCTAGGGAAAGAGCATGTTTCTCAGATCTACAGCAAAGAGCAAAGCTTTGCTCTAAATGTAACCCTGAGCAAGGATCCTCACCCCTTCAAGGAGAAAACTAGAGGAAATGAGACTTGGATGACCGGTATTGGCTTAGTCAGGGGTGGACAAACTTTTTGACTCGAGGGCCACAAAGGGTTCTTAAACTGGACCGGAGGGCCGGAACAAAAGCATGGATCGAGTGTTTGTGTGAACTAATATAAATTCAAAATAAACATCATTACATAAAAGGGTACGGTTTTTTTGTTTTTTTTTTAGTTTTATTCATTTCAAACGGGCCGGATCCGGCCCATGGGCCGTAGTTTGCCCACGGCTGGCTTAGATAAAAGGTGTCTCCTTTGGGTTTGCTGTGTGTTTCATTCATTGGCTGTCTTTAAGAGCACAGTCGACTATTCCTTGCTGAGCATTTACTTTGTGCCAGGCACTTTTCTCAGCACCTAACATGTATCAACTCATTTAATCCCTATAACAACCCTAGGGGGGTATCATTTATTATTATGCCCATTTTACAGATGAAGAAACTAAGGAACAGAGGTTAAACAACTTGCCCAAGATCACACAGTTTGTAGGAGTCAGAACCAGGATTTGAACCCGGGCAGTCTGCCCCCAAGGGCTTAACAACTACATCCTACCACCTCTGTGGAGGTAAGAAAATAAATGACAAAGGCCCAACACAGAATATTCCAGCAATCCATGCCATCTTCACAGGGAGCGAAATTTAACTGGCAGCCCCTGGGTCACTTCATCACAAGATCCAACACAAGACAAAGAAAGGCCAAAATAATAACAGTGAGATGATACACATGTAAGCATTTCCTAAGTCCTCAACTAGGTTGGGTTCCTACTGAAGCTGGTTCTGGAACAGACCCAGGAAGGTCAGAATTGGGGAGGGATCCAGGCCTGGTGCTAGTTCGGGTGGAAGCTCAACACCTCTAAGTGGCAGGCATTGATCTATCTATTGTTACCTAAGGGGCAGGGGCCAGTAAGTTAATGGATTTGCTCAAGATCACACAGCTAGTAACAAGCTGAGCCAAGATTGTGCTTAGGGCTCTTTTCATTCCACCACAAAAGCTTTCCCCAAACCTTCCTCAGGGTAAGGATCACCTGGGGTGCTGGTTAAATTTTTTTTCAGGCCCCATCCACTAAATCAGAATTTCCAAAGGAGGGCCTAGGAATTTGTTTTTAAAATGTTCCTCCCTCACCCCAATTTTAATCAACAAATAAGTTGTATAAAGGTTGTGCTATGTCACACTGCTAACCCTCTCCTTTAAAAAAATGTAAGTTCTAACTGTATTAGACTTGTTTTCCCCCTTTAGTTCTGAGAGGCCAAAGAATATGTATCAAAATCAACCAATATACAAATAATACAATTACTATGTCAATATGAAATATTGTGACAAGTAATGCTCACTGGGATATAGGAAAGGAGAAAGGCTGGACAGGAGCCTCATGGCACCACTTTCAAATGTGACCTTAGATCTAATCTATAAAATAGAGAAATGAAATAGAGTAATGTAAGTGAAAGTATTTATGTAAAATGTAAAAAATTTTACAATTGAAAGGTCCTCATCTGTTTGATACTAATCAGTGAATGAAAATAATATCTTGTGATAATGATTAACAGTACTCTCTTATCAAACCTGCGGTCTTTCATTTATTGGGTATGTTCAGGACCACTTGGGATGCTGGTGCTATGGCATGGAGAGACATATTCAAGTGATGTTTGTATTCAAGTAGAGGAAGGCACAGAATAAACACAGAAATGACAGACTGTAATAAGTATTAGAAAAGGAAAGGAATAGAACAATGGGATAGATCATGGCTGGAGTAGCAAGAAGACCACTCTGTGGAGGTGACATGTGAACTGAGACCTTAGGGTAAAAAAGAGCCCATCTTGTGATGAGCCAAAAGAAAAGCATGCAGGTAGGAGGAAGGCAAAGGTCCAGAGGCAGAAAACAGTTCCAAAGATCAGGCAGGAAACCAAGGAACATTATGTAGCCCCAAGAGAGACTGTATGGACCTTGTAGACCACGCTCAAGTCTGGATTTTACCCTAGTATGATGGAAAGTCCTGGAAGTTTTGAGCAAGGGAATGACTTGATCTAAGTTTTAATACCTTACTCTGATTTCTGAGTGGGGAACAAACCATAGGAGGACAAGAAAGGTGGCAGGGGACCAGTGCGGAGGCTTCTGCAGTGGTCCATGTAGGAGATGCTGGTAGGCTGGTTAGTAGTGGCAGGAGATGCCTGGGTGTATGAAAGGAATTGAAGTAGAGCTAACAGGTCTTGCTGGTGGGTCAGATGTGGACATGAGGAAAAGAGAGCCACCCTCCATTTGGCAGCCTCTTTCCTGACACCCAAGCTCCAAGAGCTTGAAGATATAGATTCCAGGCCTCCTGGATGCTGGATTCTGGAGCCAAATCCCGGGTCCCATTCTGAGCATTGCAGACAGTGGGACTCAGAACCACTTAGCAGCTAATTAGAGGACAACAGGGGGATGAGAGCATGAGTGGGGGAGGGGGAGGATGGGGGTTAATGGGGGTTAATGAGGACACATTTGTAATTCCTTAACTAATAAAGAATTTAAAGATAAAAAAAGCATATAAACTATAATTGAAAAATAAAATTTAAAAGAAAGAAAAAAAAGAGGGGGAGAAAGTGACTGGGAAAAACACGGTCCGTCATGAGCTAAGATAAAAAGCCCTGAAAAAAACTGCTGGGGAAATGTCTTGCTTACATAGACCTTCACAAAAAGGAGGGTAGAGATAACCCTTGACAAAGAGTGTCAATTAGTTCTTAAATGATTTCATTTTTGTCCAGCATTTACCCCTCCGCTGAAAACCCAACATTGAGGGATGAGGGAGGTCTGGGACAGAAATCCTGAGAAAGTGGATAGGGAGGAGCAGCCAGGGAAGGGAGAGCGAGGACGAGGTGGAGTGGAGAATTGCTGGCCTACATGGGCCTAGGAAATACAGAAAAGTCTGGGCTATTCTCATCGGCTTTGCCTTTCTTTGTGTCTGTGTCTAGGAGTGACCGTGCAAGCCCTTTCCACAGTTCCCGTCATGTTTAGCTACTGGGTGAGTAAGAAACTTCAAACCATCTTCTTGGTGAGCAAAGGGTTATATCTGGCAAGTAGTTAGATGACTCACACTTGACATTGCCCCAACTCCCCTGTTTCTCCCCTATAGAGATCAGTGGTGTCCCTCAGCTTCTCACACTGCAGTGTGCCCTTCTGGGCCTGTCTTCTTAGTCCTGTCCTTGCTCTAGACCCACAGGGTCCAGTACAGTCGCCAATAGTTGCACATCACTATGTGACTCACATTGTATTTTCACTGGATGCACAGTTCTAGACCCAACCTAAATTTCCATCAGAACTTACCTGTCTGATGACTCATCCCCTCAGTGCCTTACTCAGTATTCAACAAGAGAGTGTATTCTGAAGTGATGATGAGTTTGAGGTGGGAACAATAATAATGGCCTAATATGTTGCCTCTCCCAGGGAAATGTACAATTCAAAATGGGATTCCTGGAGTTGGCCGCTTTTCCCCAAGTGATTAAGTGCCAAGTGCTGAAGTTTCAGGCATGATTGGGAGCTTGTGGAAGGACACCTTTGTACACAGCTGGGGGTGCACCGGTGCCTGCTCACATGTGCAAATATTCACTCCTGTTGTGGTTTAAGCAGCAATGGCAATACCACCTGCTCACACATACTTCCCCACCGGGGCTCATAATTCTAGTGTTAGTGATTCAGTCTTGATCTGTTTCTGTGATTAGATTCATGATTTAAATAGGTTTAAATTTATGACTTCAATATGTCTACATTTATCAGACTGGGTGTCATTCTGACTACACAACTGGGATTGCAGGAAAACACCAAATTCCTGGCAGTGGGGTGAGGTGATGTTGAAAGGAAAGAAAAGAATGAAGAAGGAAGAGTTAGGGGAACAGAAAGCAAACTTCATCTTCATCAGCATTTTGCTAGGGTAACTGTGAGTGTCACTGCCTATGGAGGGTCAGGGAGGGGGAGAAGCAGGGACAGGAGAGGTGTAGAACATCCTGACGTCACACAACGAGGCATGACCAGGAGAAGCCCTGGTGACGTCAGGCACACCGGGCCCAGCCTCCTGTGTGGGGGCAGAGGAGGTATCTAACTGTGCAGCCTGCGGGCTCCTGTCTGCAGGGGTGGGGATGCCAGGCCCAGTAACTGTGTCCGTTCCTTCAGATTATAGCCTCACAATTTGTAATGAACCAGCAACACTAGCAGTTGTCTTTGCATTTGCAATGCCTGGCTTCTGGGTCTTCTGCAGCAAGTGCCTATCCCAGCCTGTGCCTCAGCTTTCTGTGGGGAAAGCCAGTGAGAATGACAGGTGATTTCGCCTGGGGAGGTGTTGTTTGGAGTAAAGAGCTAAAGAAGGAGGTTCTGAATGATGTGGTGTTCCCTCATCTGTCTCACCAGGCCAAACCTCAAGACACATTAGACCTGTGCCAGTTTTTAAACAATGACTTAGCTGC